CAGCAAGACAAACCCCAGCATAACCCTCCAGGCCCTCCTCCCCTTCGAAAAAATACGTGTGTATATATATTTATATATATAATTTTAAATGACCAGCAGCAGCCACCAGGTGGCGTTGTCGTAAGCCGCCAAATCCTAACGGAACAATAATTGTGTCAAAAAAAAATTAAGAGAAAAAGAAAAAAAGGCAGTTGAAACGTTTGAAGTCGTGGCACATCGACACTCTAATACCCAGTAGTTATTTTTTCTTGGTGTTCAGGTGTTCAGAGAGCCAAAGGACAGGTACGCTGGAATATGCTTTTTTCATCCTGGCTATAATAATGATCTAGTTGCAATCTGTTCAAATCTTGCAAAAATATGGAAAAATAACATTTGAAAAAGATCAATGTGTTATTTTATCCTAAGCATACATTATACTAAACAAATTTTTCGCATGATAGCCCTGATTGTATATAAATTATTTTGATTTAACTTCTGTTTATAAGATCCTCTTCGAACACAAAACTCACATTTGTATTGAATTGGAGCTTCTTATCGAAATACCACCGAAACGTTACCATGTAATACCCCGTCGGAAAGGGCAGACGCAACAGCTCAGGCTTCAGATAGAAATCCTTGACAATTTGTGGACCCTGTTAAAGAAGTACTCGTATTTAAACATTAAAACAAAAAATTGTTCTTGTATCTTACTACGAAGGGGCACGTGTGGTTTATGTTTGTAAACTCTTTAAACAGCCCATAGACCAAATTGGCAAAGGGTGGAGATCGATTTCGAAAAAACCGACAGGCATCAAAGCGAATGTCGAATAAAAAGGGCTTGTATCCATTTGCCCTTTTGAGCACCTGCATATGAATAGTTACATCGGTAGCAGGGTGTAGCACTGTCCCATTCATATTGCAGATAACTTTGTTCCGACCGACGGCCTTTAGACGACAGTTGTGGAACACAAACCAGGAATTATTGTAGCTTTTGCAGACGACATTCGTAAACTTGAAGATGACGGCATCCTGAAATGTTCACACATATTTTGTATAACTTTTCACATAAGGACTCCTCAATAGTTACATTTAAGCCAAAGTTGAATGCTATCCATACTCCGAAGAGCAAACAGATGAATGGATTAACCCGCATAGGATCGTTTCTATATAACCAACTGTTCAGTAATCTGTGCAAAAACGAACTGACATTCAAAATTTTGTTACATCTACAAATATCAGAGGAAATTATTCGCTTAAGTACCATACATAAATATGTATGTACAAAGTTCAATTATATGATCGAGAAACTGTTTTTGAAGAAATTACCATTAGTTTATTAATTATCTTTTTGCAATGGGTAGATGAAGCAAAAATACATATTATACATATGTATGTATGCATGTATATCCCCATATGTACATATGGGCAAGAGATTATTATAATTACACGAATGTCAAGCGTTTCGCTGGTAAGCAATTAATATTATATTAGATTGATGGCAAAATAAACGGCCAGGAATAGATAAAAAAACGAGAAGGAACGTGTGAGTCGCTTCTGGGGACGCGACTCTACTTATACCCGTACCCAGTCAGTATATACATTTTTAAGCTTGTTTTTTTTAGAATTAAAAAAATTTTACATTTTACATTTTTTTACTACATCTGTTATTTACATCTACAATGTATATTCTACATCTCCTCCGCTAAAGGGCGCTCGCGTACATAACGACGCAGAGTGTGCGAGCGAGAGAGAGAATGAGTAGCGGGTCTCTTGCTGTGGGAGGTGGGGGAAGCACCTGATTCAGATTCGGCAACCTGGTAGATATGAGCATTCTCTACGATACTGCGCTTTAGTTTTATCGTATCTTTAAAATTGTAGATGCCACAGATTTTCGTTCTTTGTGGGGGCGGGGCGAAATTAAAAAAAATTTTTTTTTATAGTCGGACAGACAGACATCGCTCTATCGACTCGGCTATTGATGCTGATCAAGAATATATATACTTTATGCGGTCGGAAACGTTTACTTCTCTGCGTTGCACACATCCACTTTTACCACAAACCTAATATACCCGTTAACTCTTTTTGATTACGGGTATAAAAATATATTTGCGAAAAATACACCATTGCATCATGAGAGGCTTCGTTTCGAACGGAACACATATGGTTCTTTTGCATCAGCTCATGCGACACACCTTGCGACGCTACCAAAAGGAACTTCGTCCTGTGGTTGCGCTGGAAGCAGCACCGTCTGGTTGCGTCAAGGATCGGGGTGGATTGATCTTTTCCGTCTCAGGGTTGCTTTGGTTGGGGCAACTATTTTCAATGTTTGCATCCTTTTTGCCGCGCTTTTTCTTTGCTGCTGGAGCATCAGCAGCAGTGTTCTGGGCTGTAGGACACTACTTTCGCTTGACGCTGTGAGCCCGGGAATAAGTCAGATGTAAGGAAATTATAGACACGTACTGCTCTACGCTAGTGCAAAGGTTTCACCAACAAAAGTGGGTGTGTACAAAGAATTTGAATTGCAAATTGCACCCGGTACCCGGAGAATCAATAAATAAACCGTTTTGTGGATACAAATTTCTTGAAATCGTTGAACCGATTTCCATTTCCCTCGTGCTTCCTCCCTTCGATTGACTTCTCTCCGGCCATACGGCCGCGTGGTTGTACGAACAGAAAGCTCCACACCAAGAACTTTTGAAATGAAAATATATATGTATGCAAAACTGGAAAGCTATGGTTGAATAACAAATGTTTCACGGGCGGGGGTCCAGCTGAAAGGGGGTGCCCATTAATACATCATACATACAGCACATGTGCGATATTATGGACCTGCAAGTGTCCCCCCTTGATATGCGACGCCTCTGACTAAGAAGCCAGCAATACATACTTATAAAAGCTGTCTCCCTCGGAGACCATTGACCATCGTTGTTGCTGCCAGCTGGCCCACGAACGATCATTGCCGCGAAGAAGCAGACGAAAGCGAAAGCAAAAGACACATAACAGCTGGAACTGTTCGTGGGATCGACAGTTGGGAAAAAGTTGGTCCGGAATGCAGCAGCTGTTGAGGGTCGCTTGGACGCTAGGTCGGCGCCACATCCACGACACGATGATGACTCAATTTTAATCCACTTTGAGTCCACTTTCCACTTTTGCAGGTCAACGCTCGGGCAGCGTGTGGAATGCGAGCCGGTGCAGAGGGATCGCCAGTCTGGCAGCTCTCTCCGAGACGCACCAGATACTGCAGAAGACCTGCCGGGATTTCGCCAATGCAGAACTGGCTCCACGGGCCCGTCATCACGATCGCGAGCAGCTGCACCCGGCGGAGCAGATACGTCGCCTGGGTGAACTCGGTCTAATGTCGGTGACAGTGCGGGAAGAGTATGGTAAGGCAATTGTCAGATTGATGCATGTCCACGTCCCTAAATGCTTTCTTGATGCCCACCTGCAGGTGGCTCTGGACTCGACTACCAGGCCTATGCCATTGGCATGGAGGAAGTTGCTCGTGGCGATGCGGCCGTCTCCATTGCGATGGGCGTCAACAATCTCTACTTGGGCGCCGTTCAGCTCCATGGAAGCGAGCAGCAGAAGCAGGAATTCCTGGTGCCCTACACGCAGGGCGAAAAGATTGCCTTCTATGCTCTGTCCGAGCCGGGAAACGGTTCCGATGCCAGCGCCGCCAACACCACAGCCAAGTTGGATGGGGATAGCTACCTGCTCAATGGAACCAAGGCGTGGATATCCAACTCCAAGGAGGCCAGTGGCGGCGTCGTCTTTGCTACCATCGACAAGACGCTGAAGCACAAGGGCATAACGGCCTTCCTCACAGCCAAAGATGTGCCCGGTCTGTCCATTGCCAAGAAGGAGAGCAAGATGGGTATGCGAGCCTCGTCCACGTGTCAACTGGTGCTGGAGGATGTCCAAGTGTCGCAGGCCCAGGTGTTGGGAGGCCCCGGCGAGGGCTTCAAGATTGCCATGCAGTCGCTGGACTGCGGTCGCATTGGAATCGCCGCCCAGGCCACGGGCATTGCTCAGGCCGCTCTGGAACTGGCTGTGGACTACTCCCAGAAGCGTGTTGCCTTCGGCAAGCAGCTCTCGCGGATGCAGCTGATCCAGCAGAAGCTAGCAGACATGGCGACAAAGGTGGAGGTGTCCCGGCTGCTAACCTGGCGAGCCGCTTGGCTCAAGGACAATGGTTTGCCCATCACCAAGGAGGCTGCGATGGCCAAGCTGCATGCCTCCGAGGCGGCCACATTTTGCGCCCACCAGTGCATCCAGATCCTGGGTGGAATGGGCTATACAACCGATTTGCCCGCAGAGATGTACTACCGAAACGCTCGCGTCACAGAGATTTACGAAGGAACCTCTGAAATCCAGCGAATTGTAATTGCTAATGCAGTGCTCAAGGAACTAGGATGATTTTATTTGCATTTATATTCTACCTAAATATATTGCTTTGGGGGTTTAATATTAGTTATTTTGTGATAGTTTTAGAAATTGTAAAATTTGCGGGAATAAAACAACCAGTGCAGCCAAGAAAAATTAGCTGTTTTTTTCGGGACACATGATATAACTGAAACTAGCTAGAAATCTAGCCTTTTAAAATATATACACCCTAAAAAAACAAAATATTCAGCTCAAACTTTTGTTTCGTCTTCATTATTCTCTCAGTGTAAAAGTGCATACAACTTTCGCAACAAAAATCAATTTTATAATATAGAAAAATATGTACTTTAAAATTAAGAGGCTGAATTTGCAACACTACTAAATTTGATTTGGTATTTTTTCGTTTATGCCCGTACTACATCAGACTGATAAACGCCAGCAGCACATCTCCATCTATCAGACAGAGCTCACTATTTGTGAGAAAATTATGTTTTCCAACTGCATGCTTCTCTAGTAAATCCAGCAAATTCGAATGTCATACGGCCATACGTTCGCTCATTTTTACTCAGGGAACTAACTCATTTTTATAGTTCGTAGGATTTAGTTCCCTCTCTAGGTCACACACCTTGCAACTTTCTAGGTCAAAAGAACTATTCAGCTGAACAGTTAGTTCGCTCCAATGAACTACAGTTAGTTCTTGTTTATTATTATTTTGAATTTTGGCATAAATGACGGCAAATCTACTGAATTTAAATGTGGATACGCTGTTTGAGCAGCACAGCGTATCCGAGATCGACGTGGTGCACAAAAAGATACAGACTGTGGTGGAGAACAAGCGCGAGGAGCTCCGGACTCATGTCGGGTAAGTGCGGCAGAGTGATGTGGCACATTGAAATCACATTGGTCACAAATCTAAAAACTATTTTCGTAATGCCGTAGAGAGCGGTACAGGGATCTGCTTAAAGCAGCCGACACCATTGCGGCCATGCAAACGTCGGCGGGAACACTCATCGAGCAGGTGCACTGCGTCCAGGCCAATTGTCGGAGTCTCAACGAGCAGCAGCTCCTGGGCTTCAATACCACAACTGCGCCCGCAACGGGGGCGGCTCTGCAGCAGAAAAACGCCAACAAGAAGCTGCAGAGCTACTATGGCACCATGGTGCAAATCAAGTTGCTGACATCGCTGCCCGAGCTCATTTGGACGCACATTGACAACGAACAGTTTTTCGCAGCCACGGAGCTGTTCATCTTCAGTCGCCACATCAGCACAGGCCTGCAGCTGGACGGCAAGAGTGCGCTAATGCAAAAGCTGCCCGTGGCCCGCAAGCAATGGGAGATCCTGCGGCCCTTCCACCTTACCATCAAGCAGGCAGTGCTGGCCGTGTTGGAGCGCGAGGAACTACGCCCAGAGATCGCTGTAGACTGTATGCAGAGCCTGCTACTGCTGGATAAGTGCGATCTCGGCGCTGTCCTACAAACGTTTCTCAATCTGCGAGCCTCTGCCTTCCTAAATTGCCTCCAGAGCCGTCTCACGGAGCCGCGTCGCGTCAAGGAGCGCATCCTGGCCAGTCTGGGCATTCTAAACAGCACTATAGAGCTGCTGGACAAGTGTCTTCTGGGTGAGTTTCAATCAAATACGCTTTATTAGTAATGCCGTCGGAATAAAACGCAAGTAAAAAGAAGCAGGACAACGAGCAAGAAGCACTCCCAGCTCACAAGGCGACCAGCCATAGAGGTCATTGCATCGCGGACTTGCTCCTGCTTGCTGTAGTGGAGTACACTCGATGCTGGGCTATAATTTACGTTTGCACCGCATGCTTTCAACAGAGCATCTGTGTAGGCCACCTGGTGGTTTGCACAGGTTACATAGCTGAACTGGCCCAGACCCACCAGCGTGGCGTTCTTGTCAATTCCATTGTAGCACTCGAATAGGGTCCCATTAGTGGGAATCAGGATCTGGCAATGTTGCGTCTCCGAATTATGGAACAGCACAAAGCACACACTCGGACTTAGGTCCAGAAAGTAAATGCCATAGGAGTCGCCCAGCTCCATATACGAGTCCCCGGAACTGAGCTTCAGATCCTCCGTGTAGCGACCCACGCAGAGCTGCTGCAGCGCTCCCTTGAGCTCAATGCCGCAGCGACGTGCTAGTTTCAGACTTGAAGCTGCCATTTTCTATTTCGACTGATTTCTCTCTGACTGATGTTCTGTTTTAACTTTCAGAGAACGGCCTCCTGTTCACACGCCTGGCGGAATGTTCAGCATCCACCTGTCCGCCCAGCATCAGTCGGATGGAGAGCAGCGAGAGGCAGCTGGCCCATCTGTTGCCCGATATCATAGCTGGCTTTAAGCCGCAATTTGATGTCATAAAATTGTCGTCCGAGCAATTGGGCAAGTCCCTCAAACAGTGGCTGGACAAGATGAATGCTTTGGCCGCCGCCCAGCTGCAGCAGATATTCGCCTTGGTCAGCAACATGCAAACTATTCAAGATATCAAATCGTCGGCCAGGTCCACAGGCAGGCCAACCTTTGTCCATTTGGAGCAGCAGCTCAATTTGGAGCATTCCCAGCTTGACTTCTATGCCACAAAGTATGTGCCCCTGATCAATGCCCGTGTGAGGGAGATCATACGCAGCAGTTGGGCTCAGGCCATGACCCAGACCTACGAAAAGGTGCTCTCTTTGATTGAGGCTGGGATCTCGACGCCACCGCTTCAGATCTGGAAAGAGCAAAACGACGACTTACCCCTGAGCCTGGCTGCGGCGCTCAGCGATCAGCCCAAGCGTCTGGCCAACCGCACCAAAGGCTACGATTCCTCAACCATCGCCCTGTGCAAAACGTTTGACTCTCAGCTGGCCGACATCGTCCAGGAGCTGAATGTCCTGCTTCAAGAGCAGACAACGCGAATGGAGGACAAGATGTCATTGATCAAATTCCTAAGGGAAACGGCCGAAGAACAGGTCACAGAGTATCTGTCCAAGCTGAAGTCGCTGCAATTGCGTGAGCGTCCTGCCCTGCTCCAGGCTCTGCGTAATAGTTTGGCATTGGTGGAGCTGTGCCCCAATCTGAAGCTGTGCTTCTGTCAGCCACCCAGCTGGCGTCAATGGAGTGGCAATCAGTCGGGTGTGGGCATTGAGCATTGGCAACGTATTTGTGGTCTGATCGAGGAGGAGATGCTGAGTCTCTGGCTGCTGATTGTGGAGGATGTTCTGACGGCTCACAGCTGCGAGGAGAAGCTCACAAAGATCATCAGTCATGAAGCGGTTTTGAGGGATTTTGCGGTAACAATTTCCGCTTAAATTTGCATTTAAAATTAACTTAAATCTGTGAAATCCCCTTACAGCTCTGGCAAACGCTTACGCTGGAGCAGCGAGATGAGGAGCAGGAACAGAGCGTTCAGTCCACCATACGCATTCCCAGCCAACCGCGTCTCTCACTGCAGACGTATCTCCATCAGTTAATTCATGCCCTAAACCTGGCTGTTCCTCAGACCCTGCCATCCAAAGTGCTGCAAGCCTTCAACCAGAGACTTCTTGGACAGCTGCTTGGACACTACGAGGGACTGGCGGCTGCGGAATGCACCAAGACCAGCCAGAACATTGCCCTGCAGCTTTACTTTGACTTGAAGTTCTTGGAGCGCGTGTTTGCCGTCTCTCGGGAGGAGCGTTCCCTCTATGATCGAATCCACTCTCAGCAGAACGCTCTGCGCGACTGCATCGATCCCTTCGACTTTGAACTGTTCGCTGAGCACATCAGCACTCATGTCGGCCGCTCCACATCGCGTCTCCAAGGCGAATTGGGAGTACTGACACCCTCTACGCCAGGTCCTGCTCAAAGCACAACTGCATCGAGTGCCTTGGCACACGAGGCGGATCCCAATGTACTGTGCCTCAGCTCTTCGGGCTCCACATCTCTCTGGTTCCCCCTGCTGCCGATTGTCATGCCGCAGGCTGCAGGTGGATTTGCTGGCAGTGAACGCAAACAGAAGCCCATTGAGGCAGATAAAGTGAGTACATGGCTGCAATATTAGATGCTATCTTTAATGAACTTATATCTCCAAGCATTATCAAGGCGTAATTGGTGTATTTCTTTTATAGGATTTCTTTGAATTGCAATCCTAAATCAATAATTTCATCATTTGCTCTTGTTGGGTAGGAATTGTATTTGACAAGTGATATTTAGTATTCATTTCTCGTTTGCATGTTTGATTATGTGGAGACTACTCAATGCTGCATGCCACAAATTAACCAACATTAATTGAATATTTCATTTGCAAATATTTTATTCCTCATTTCCCAGTTCAACCTACATAATATCATGCATATTGGACTGTCACTAGAATAGTATTTACTTTCCAATCCTTGTTTATGAGCTTGGCCTTGCAATTGCTCGTATTTGGGAAATCTAAATGGAATTTCGTCTGCACTAACAAAGTCCTTTCATTGGCAGTTTTCTGCTACAGAAATACTTGTCAGTTATTTTCATATAATTTTCCCTTATAAAACAGGGAACTTACTGTACTGTTGATACCATAGTAATTAGTTTGCCATTTCTCGTTTGCATGTTTGTTTCTGTGTGTTCCTCAATGTTGCATGGCAGAATGCACTCAAAATTGATTGAATCTGTTGAAAGTGTAAAAGGAGTCTCCCCCCTCCGCTCCTCCCTCGTTGCATTGGAAACTGTTTAAAGCTCTTCAAACTGAAGCAGCAGTTTAATTAAACTAATTTCGTGCATCCAGCATAATAAATAAAGCAAAATGCCGCAAGACAAATTTTAATTAGCTGCAACTTTCACCGGCTCCCACTGACTGCTGCTGCAGATGATGCTCCGCCTGCCCCATCCATGGCAGTGCTACAGACCCACCGCAAGTGCCTGGCCAAAAGTTTCGAACTCGAAACCGAGACCAAAATTTCCAAGTGCATGGCGAGGACACCGGGAGAGTGTGCCTTCGAGTGTGCCTTCAAGTGTGTGTGTGTGTGTGTGTCTGTGTGTGCTGCTGAGTGCCTTAAATGCTAATTAATGAATCGCTGCAATTATTGAAATCAAATCGCCGGACAGAAGGGTAATTTATGGCCAACGGGAAACTTGGCCGTTACTCGCATGTTTTCTAATTAGCCGCGATCTCTGGCGGTATAAATCGTTCTCTAATTATCCCCAATGTCTGCTTACTGTTTGCTGTTTGCCTCCCCTTCCTCGGCTTAACCCATAAATCTCCAGAGCTAGCCGCAAATTAACAGATTAATCAGACAAACTACCAATTAATAGTACTAATTAATTAATAACATTTCTCTTTTCCCACAGACAGCGACTGCGACGACAGCGACAGCGACAGCGACAACGACAACGACACCCACAAAGAAATCGGGTGGCAGTGCCACACGCAAGGGCGATAATAGCAAATCCAAATCGGGCGCAGCTTCATTCTTCGGCATGTCCCAGGAGTGGTTTCGCTAGAGGAGTCAAATCAAGTGGCCTGTGAAGTGCATCCAAGTGGAATACCCCCAAACCAGAAGTGGGATGAGCAGCAGAACCTGCAACAGAGATCGAGCGTTCGTTCGTTCATTCCCTTGCCTATCCGCTCGGATGTCAACTGTTTCATTGTTTAGAGAAGCGCATTCTAAATGTTTGACTTGTATCCCAAAAACACATTTGTAAAATGAGCGTAATGCAATGCAGTTCCGCTAATTGTAAGAGCGATATATACATACATACATTATAGATATACATATATACATTCCCTGATATCCTTTTAATTTCAACTTAATTCTAAATTTGTAATTTATAATGCGCTTTGATGTTGCCACATTGGCATTAAGGCTACTGCTATTTCTTGCCTCCTTTCTTGCCAGCGCCTGCGGGTGGCTTTTGCTCTGGTCCTTTCTTGGCTCCACCTTTGTCACCGCCAGCCCCACCGCCTTTGTTTTTATTTCCACCAGCTGCAGGGGCTGGTGCGGCTCCTCCTGCGCCACCACCGCCACCGCCTTTTTTCTGTAAGGAAAAGCACACGAAAAGATTTTACTTTGAGCTGGTTCTGAGCAAATAATGAGCTAGGACTGTGTACAGTTCTTGAGAAAAGTCAGTTAATGAGAAAGATGTTAGTTATTACGAATAGTGGCATGAGCCGTGGGGTCCTTTGATACGTTGGAGGGAATATGAAATCTTTGATGGAACTGGAAATTCAGTAGAAAAGAGATTCCAGTTATCTGACCTTTATTCAATGGATATGGTTGGCTAACTTGTACTCAGAGACTCTTTAAACTGTGTCCGAACATCAACGATTCAAATGTACTTAAGGATTGGATAGTACTAAGTATTTGGATCATCACTTGGCAAGATGCAACAGAAACGACTATGATTTCACGTAAATGATTCTATTACAGGGATATATTCTTGGGGAGTCATCAGGGAAGCTTTAAACTGCTATTTAATCTTCAATTGATGTTTGGAGAAATGTATCTGTATCCTCCAGTTGAAAGCTTGGGCAAATTAGATGATGATAATCAGTATTTGGACTCACAATTAATACGCAAGTTGCATAACACAAATATTGCTTACATTCCCGCCTCCTCCGCCTGAGCCACCACCACCACCGCCTCCACCTCCTCCTCCACCGCCGCCGCCCTTATTTTTCCCCATCCTATCAACTTCTTAGGCCAGCAATTATTTAATTTATTTGGTTTTGTGTTTTTTGGGTCTGGTTTGGTTTATGGCGAGCAAACTTTGGCCACAGCACGCAAATTGCAACTAATAAGCATCGCCCATAGCCCCACAGCAAAGTGCATAAAATGAATTCATTCCGCAGCCAAAGGAAGGCCGAAATAAAAGTCGCAAGCAAAACAAACTAAAGAGAGGATAAACCTATGGGCGATATTCCGACTATAAGATACCCAACCTGCGACTCAGATAATTTTCCATGCGTAGCTGGCTAAAAATATTGACTTGCTAACTTACTAAATGATATTTGATAGCGAATACTTATGATGGATAATAAAACTGTTTAGTAAGAAACTCTGAGTCCCACCCTCAGACCTACACTTGTTCATATCAAGAAGTTAAGTTGGCTTGTTGTTCCATCAACTTACACGAATACAATATACCCTTCTGCTCTAACGAATACAGGGTACAAAAATGCACAACACCAAAAGGCAGAAAAGAGGAAGCCGCGCCAATGTTTTGGCCATCAAATGAGTATGGGAATGGGGGCAATGAGAACGGAGGGAGGGGAGATAGCCCAGGGCAGAGCACAGCACAGCAGAGAGCTGGCTGAAATGGCCAATAGCTCTTAACTGATTTAATCATCAGCCTGCCACCCCTCTCTGTCTCTCACACTCTCCTCTTGCCCTCTGGCAGGCCGGAAGGAATGAGAAGTGGCTGATACTCGCGGCGACTGTTGGGATTATTTTGTAGTATTTCTTTTTGGGATTTTTATTTCTTTTCTGTTTCGGTTTCTACATTTGCATTTTTCTTTTGGCCGTGCCCGTGTCCTCCCCCGCCAATTGTCCCCAAGGCCATGCCATTGACATTGTCCATTTCTCGCGTTTCTGTTGGTGTGAAATGCGGTTATGCTTTAGGTTTTAGCCAATGGAATGCAATAAGGTGCTGATAATCCCCGCAACTCAATGACGTATTTAGTGGCAAGTGCAACAAGAAGATATTAATAGATGCAAAGAGACTCAAGTTGGATTGCGGTGCCTAAGGGAGAATTTTAAATTTCAAGGGGAATCGGTGTAAAAGGGCGAAACAGCTCATATTGAGATAAATTTAAATAGATGAATAATTCTGTGTGATACTGGTGATTATGATTGATCCAATATTGAACTGATTGTATGTAAAAAAATAGTGACGAAATAACTGCAGAACCACCAAGTTTGTAAGAAATACAGATAAATTCCCCTCCTCAAAAATTTGTAAGCCATGCAACTACTGTCACACCTGGTGGACAGATCTAGATCCCTAACAAGAATGGAATCCATTCAAAGGCTTTCCACCTGTCTGCGCTCCAAGCTAAAAAGTCCTGCTCTGATTTCTTCATATGCTAATTACAGTTATCAAAAGTTTCTCTGGCGCTGACACCGGACACTGGAAACTCAATGCATGTCTAATGAGCAGCAGGAGATGATAAACCTCAACCTGGTTCCGTCAGTCCCACTCACCGCCCTCTCCTGTATCACCCTCATCCCGGAACAGATGTTGGGTACTGTACAGGAGAGTGTAAGAGATGTCCAGTCGGTGTCAGCTAATTAAATTAGATGTTTTCTATGGTGCGGCTCCAGGTGAAACCGATATCAGGCAGATGTACCTCAGAGCCGCAAGCCCAATGAAAATGAAAGCACTGAGGACTGAAGGACTAATTCAACAAGTTGAAATCTGCACATGGCAGTGGCATAAAACCAAATTAGAAGTGAAAAGTATAGAATAAGCTCATAAAATTACGCACACACATGCTCTATAGAGGACACGGAAACAAGGCGCTGGATGGGGCTGGATGGCTTGGATGGTGACCCGAAGCCTGAGGCAAGGACCAACAAAGTCGCTAGTCCGGACATTTGCTGCAGGTGCGGCAGGAAAAACTTGCACCTGAAAGATAAACCCCAAACAGAAGCCCCATAGAGCGGCAGAGGGAGACAGACATAGAGAACGACAGATAGACATACGGACAGACAGTTTGAATTTAAACGAAATGGGCGTTACGGGGGCCAACTAAATACATACATAAAAGCGAAAGAGATGCGAGAGAGCGAGAGGGTGCGAGGAGAGGATGGCACAGTAAAAGTGCGGAACTTTAATTAAGTTTTGGTTCTCCCAGCTGACTGACATCTTGAATTACAAATGAAAAACTTGTGTGCAGCAAAAGGAAAACCAGCCAAAGGAAACGAGCCAAAAAGAAACGACAGACAGACAGACCGACAGACAGTCAGAGCAAAAGAGGGGGGAGTGAAAATAGTGCATAATAACACACTGAACTGCAAAAAGGTGGAAAAGCAGGAGCAGCATGCGAATGCGAATAAGTTGCCCAGCCAGCAGAAAGACGTGGGAAAAGACGGGCAGAGCAAACCTCAAATCACAGAGAAAGAAATCCACAGAGAAAAAAAAACCGATCAACTTTCACTGTGTGCAACTCTTGGAACTGAAAACACGAGCAATATACAATCGTTGTGATTCATTGAAATGAATTTAAAACGCAACTATCTATGATAAAATAAACCCATAATGTAAACAGTCTAATCTTTGCCTGGAAGCAATCCCCTTAGTTATTATTTACATTTGCACAAGCATCCGAAACCAGGGAAAATATTGTATCTGCAGGCGTGTGCTCATAACAATCTTATCTGCGCATGGAAATTATTATTTGCATGGCTTAACATATTTTCTGGCAGTGTAAAAGTACATACAATAGGAGCCTGCTAGTTAGCTATCGTAAGAATGGCCATCACAACAAACTAAGACCGCGAATAGCCGTATCTCGCACAAGTGGAAAGTCCCTTGAAGTCTCTCAAAAATCGAATAAAAAATGGCTCCATTCATGCCGCAAAAAAAGAGAAAAACTTTGCGTGAAAACCCAACATTGGGAATACCCTGATAGATATACCGTAACACCATCCGATAAACCATTTCCTCTTTTTAAGTTCATTCGAGCTGATTTATTTTATATAATTTTCAGACAATGATTTGGTGTCGTGACGTCTTCCCCGTCGGGATAGTTTTTGACATTTAAGCGTGCCCTAAAATGGATAAGATAGCGGATATGGTAATCCATGAATTGAATTGAATTTGGACTTTATGGTACGAGTACGAGTACGAGTATGTCTATGGGAAAACACTCGTATTATCTCTGTGGGGGAAAGGAAGCACAATCTATGACATTGAGAGTGCAAGTAATCTTGCTTTAGGGTAGTCTGAGGTCGTCTCAAGGAAGGATATATGAAAAGCCGCAACGGAACTTCATCATCAGGAGCCTCCGCCACAGAATTGGGTTTTAGTTCACGTGCCACTCGGGAACGGGAAGTTGATTTTCACTGCCTGCTGGCGCGACTGCAAAAATCAGGAAACAGATGTTTGCAAATATCTTGAGAGAGAACTTTTCGCCAAGGTATTTAAATAAAGGTTTCGCTGCAGCAACTTTTTCGTCCGCCGCACGGCTGGGAAATGCAACAAAAAGGAAAGAAAACACGAACGAATGAAATCTGAATGGAATGGAAGCCCCAGCAGTAAAAGGCAATGCGAAAGCAGACCCATTCAATTGCACGGAATTGGTAATCGGCCTCGGAAACGGGTCGGGTCGTCTTAATGGGATATGATGTAGTATTCATATCGGCATATGGCGGTTTGTGGGGTCTCGTCTAAATATACTTATAAATGACTTGCACAGCTAGTGAACACTTAGAGAGCTCGTGTCGATAAACCCGCCCGCGGTGACTAATTAAAAATTATGAAGAACTACGAAAGTTTTCCACTCGAAATACAATCAACAATCAAGAAGTCATGAGGTATTCCAGGAGCAAAGTCCAGGTGAAAAATTATGCATATAACGAACGTGGAATACACTATAGTTTAAGATAGTAGTTCCGATATTATATAATTAAGAAATATCTGTATTATATGAGCAATAAATTATAGATATTTAATACAATTAATGGATTTTTCTTATTACAAAAATTATGTTGTTAAACTGAAAGTGTTCGAACTTCTTTTTATTATATTTTATCCCAACAATTACAATACTTAGTGTTAC